TCCCCCCCCCCCCCGTCTCTCCACCACATCGGCATCAAGGTATTCTTCTCCAAGGCCATGCATTGCAATTAAAATAACCTGGCTTTAAATATAATCACTGGCATACGGACCCACCCTGGGCAGATTCCTGGGAAAGAAAAGGCTTCAGATCAGTTTTCTGAGATGCTTTTCTCTTGTATGGGTTGGCAAAGCAAAAGGCGCCTGAGTTGTTGGGGGGGGGGTTTGTTGCTTGCGAGAGATGGTTATTCTGAGTCTGTCTGCCCAGTAATCCCCAGCTGGGCAGCTAGCTGGCATCTCCCAGCCTCGAATGCAAGGGTTAGAATTAGAATGGACAAGAACAGGAGGCCACCTCTTGGACAATTGGATCGAGCCCTCTCTCTATGGCGGAATACTACCTGTTCTCAACAAAGCTTCCCCTTCCAGACTTATTCTAGTTTGTGGGCCATGCACATCTCTTCCCCGCCTACTTCTCAGGTGAATATTTTTCTCACAGATGAGGCATCGCTAATCTTGACTACCCACACTTGTTAGCTGACTGCACGGTATGTAGGCAACACCAGCTTCCTTATTTTACAAGCAGATCTGAGCAGAGTAAAAGCAATTTGAAAGAGACCTTTACTTTGTGGCTCTGCCTACTGTCTGAGGATCAGACCTCTTGGTAGCAGCTCTTGGAAATATTGGCTTTTTACACTCATGGGGCCCTTTGTATTTTTTTTAACTGTAGCTGGATAGGTTTTATTTTCACAAGTGACTTGCTAAACTTTATACAGAAAACTTCTTCAGCAATTGTCAGAAAGAAAGAAAGAAAGAAAGAAAGAAAGAAAGAAAGAAAGAAAGAAAGAAAGAAAGAAAGAAAGAAAGTTTACCCACTGTCTAGGCTGACAGGTAGACCTATTCTGGCCGGGGCTGAGCCTGAGTGACACCTGTCTCCAGCTAAGGCCCGCCCCCTCCAGCCTCCTTTCCCTCTTTTCCAAACCCCGCTCCCCACGCCAAGCTGACCTGAGCAGCAGGAGCGCACGAAGGAGGCGAGCCGCGCCTTTGGCTTCCCCCTCCTCCAAGCGCGCTCCTTTCCGCCCTTCTTCGCGCTGCCCCGTCCGCGCAAATCCCCGCGGGAGGTGGGTTGGCGAGAGGGAAGGAAACCCCCAGGTCCTTCAGGCCGGC